TGCCACAAATTCTCCTAAATCACTCGTACGCACAACTTAAGAACAAATCTGTGCGTACGAGCGGTTCTTGCATGAGGCCCAATGTGTTCTTAAAGCCTCCAACACTGTCAGCACCCTTAAGGAGAGATTTCCATGGTTACCACAACTCTTACTGAAAAGAAGCAACTGTATAATTTAAGTAGCAGCGTTAAGGCCCGGTAAGTCAGCCTTCTATCTTTATCTAAAAAGAAATAAAGAAAAAAGCAACAGCAGCATTTTAATGAGCTTATCTGAGGAACTTTGCTGTGTTCTCATCTGAGAAACACTTTCTCCTTCAGAGCCAATAAAAACACAAGCAGAAACTCTTCTGTTTTAATTAGCCTGTGAGGTTGTCGGGTAACATGTGTGGGCATATGAGACGTATCGTCATTAAGTGGCCCTCACTGCTTTACACTCTTACATTTGTAGCTACAGAAGGCGTTTGTTAATGCACTCCAGGCAAGGTGCTCATGTTCTTACTGATGTCAGCTTTACCCTTTAACTGCGTTAGCGCTCCTGCTGTCTGTCTCAGTGTCTCCTGGTGCACTCATAGAGATTAAATGTTGCGTTTGTGTGACATGTTTGAGTTAAAAAAAAACACTGCAGTATTTGAATTGAGCCGTACTTATTGAGACATGCATTAATCAAAATGCTCAAATAATCTAAACAGCAGTTTGGTTGTATTTGTTGTTCTTTTTAAACTACTTAATTACTGAAGCTTTACATTCAGTTTTACTTCTGCTAAACCCACATCGGAACACACACGTTTAAGTAGATCAATCAGTCCTGGTTATATCCTCCGTCCATTTGATTTTCATGCAGTTAAGCACTGATATCAAATTGCCTGCTGTACATGTTCAAACAGGTTTAAAAGCGATACTTAAAAATGCAGGAGGCCATTTTTACTGCCCCAAATAAGATTAAATCCCCATCAAACCACTTACACAAAGGAATTAGGATTTTAAAGCAGCATATTGTGTTAAGTTAAAAAGTAAATTGGATAACATGTTGTGTTTGGGAGGTAAGTGAGAGTAATATGATATAAATGTAATCAGCTTAGATCATGTTAGAGAACTGATGGAGGCAATGAAAATGAATCAGACTACATTATATGACTATTTAGTTTTGTTGTGACTGGATTTTGAAGAGCTGATCCAGAACAGGGCCTGATGATTGGCTAACTGGTAATGAGCTGTCCAATCACCAACGGTTATTTTAGTGAGAATTAAAACATATACATCTAAATTGTTACCCTTCCTCATCATATTTATACAAATCATTATGAACTTTCAGAGTAAAACATATATTTTACACTTTAATCTCCTAAGGAAAGCAGTAATTTTCACCACCTTTCTATGCTGAAAGTTTGTCGTTATTCTTGAACAGCAGCAGCTGCACCAAAGTACATTGTGCCATGGTAACAGTGCTGAATATTGATCTAAAAAGGGACCTAAGTAAGCACGTTTGTGCGTGTCTGTGCTTTACCTTCACAGGAGAGATATGCGTGTGTGGCGTGTAGCCATGAATGGCCTCCATGGCAGCAAGGTTCTTGTCACTCATATGAAGCATCTCTGCACTTTTCCCTGGAGCCAGATGAGCTGGACTGTGCTCCAAGGGGGGCGTCTCCTCATCCTGGTACCTGTACTTCTGCAAATACACAATACAGACACAGATGAGCTCAGTTCGTCCGTCGTGTTTTAAAAGAGGCGATTCGTCGACATCGGAGGCTGAAAATGTGGCTTTCAAATGTCACGATCAGCCTGGTGAATTAGGCCTTCCACCGGTRTTGGTTGATATTAAAAATAACAGAGTAATGAAAGAAACTATTCATTAAAGTAATTCAGTTGTAGAAGTACATCCATTGATTACTTTCTGATCATTTATTGTCCATGAAATGGTTCATGAGCTATTTTGCCAAAAGGCAGATATGACTAAGAGTTCCTGTTAAAGTTTTACAGATATTTTGCATGATCTGATGTTATCGGTACAGTAGGCTACGTGTTATGGATGAGTCTCAGCTAATACCGAACCAAATTGTAGCCTAATAGTTGAAATATTAACTAGTAGTAATTTCTATGTTTGTTAATGTGAGTTAGCTGTGGCAGCCAGGTTAGCGCCAAATGCTAATCAGTTGTAAAATTATRTTTAATGATAACTTTAGAAACAAACAGAAAAATACATTTGCTTGGTTGCCCACCATCTGTGTAGCATTCTAGTCTGCTTTATTTTCCCCAAATTCCAAATTTTCTGTTTATATTTTTCTAAATTTGGTTCTAACCATATTTATTAACCTAAAAAGTGTGTAATTATAACGTGACGGAAAAATAATTTAACAGCTGAATAGTCAAATTTCTTATTTCACTTTCCTAAATATAACAAATCCCAGTGGTTCAGCAGAACATTAAATGGTTTTGTCCGAAGAAAAAACATTATTTAAGTGAAAAACACAAACTCTCTCATTAAAAAAGTTAGCTTTTTCTAAAATAAAAATGCTCTAGAGTGGAAAGTAAAATAAAAATACGTCATAAAGTAACATAAAACCTACAAAAAGTAACAATTTGTGCACACATGCCTATAGAAGAGGATCTATGCTCATTTTTTTTTTCATTTTTGATTTTTAACTTTCTCTAAAGGAATATTTGATTCTGCACACGACAACAAAATCTTCACTTCTCCTGATGTAACTGAATGTTTGAGTTCTCAGGTGATTGTCTCGCTCTAACTAGCTTCTTCACCTGTTTCTGATGTGAGTCTTGGGCTGTAGGTGGTCGTCACGTGTATTTTTACACGTCCAGTCGACTCCATGTTGACAAAACTTACAAAAAAGTTGCTCTACAGATTTTGTTCTGCCCTAAAGTTTATGCTAAGCTTAGTATTTTTATTATTTTTGGAGGATGTTGATGTTGCATCTGTAATTTCTCTTCATGGGATCAATTAAGTATCATTAATTCATTCATAAACAGGTAACATCAGGTACAGAGGGCAGTAGGGGGTCAACATGCCTCAGAAACTTTACCTACTCGCCCAAAAAAGAAAATTCTGTGACATGGCACTGGATTCCATTTTGTGCGTTTTCTGCATTGTGGAACTCATAAGGCCCTGTGGTGGGCTTKTTGAGTCAGTCTATAAGAACATGTACTTCTCGTGACATGAGACGCCTACAAGAGAACAAGCTGGGACATGATGGAAACAAAGGCCTTGAAATGTTGCCATTTCGCATTGCAAAGTTCTCATCCCTCCACAGCCACATGGAACATGTGATTTAGACTGGTTCTGATGGAGCGGATCATGCTGCTTCTTCCTAGTAACCTCACCCCCCTGCCAGGATCCCACACCTGGGCCAAGCGCCAGCAGCCCACTGTTTCAGCCACACACCGCAGGCTTCATTCTAGGCGTGATGATGACACAAAACTCACAAACACATGAGAAGGTGGGCAACTTCAAGTGGGGATCTGCCACCCTGTCCTCTGCGTTGCAGCTCATGTTTTCTACAAACATGCACCCCCCAAACCCCCCAACATCTCCCATCCTCACATGCACTGCAGATGTGAGACAAGCCATACCACTCAGACATTCAGATTGATCCTTCAAATTGTAACTGGTGGCTTCTACTTTCCCAGTCTTGCTTTGTGTTTTTTTTATTTTATTTATTTTTATTTTTTTGGTGGGGGTTTGTTACCGAGCCCACCCCTGTCTCAGACAGGCTGCCATAGCAACCGGTGCAGAGCAGAGATTGCAGTGCCCACAGTTGAGGCTGGCAGCATCGGTTTTGGATTACATTACACCGAGACAGCAAGAAAAAAGACAGAGAGAGACAGAGATAGAGATAGAGGAGAAAGTGAGGGGGATGGGCACAATGGAAGAGTAGGAGCATCACCAGGCAGAACAAGCAAAGATGAAGAATTGTTGAACTGTAGTTGCAGGGTAATGATGATGAAGCTTTTTATTTTTTTCAACAAAAAGCCTTTTAGCATACTAAAGTACTCGTGTACTGTTTATTTTTCATTAATTTGTAATCATAATCCAGATTGTCCATTATCCTACCCCAAATCATTGGACACAGGTTGGTGGTTAAAATTATATATGTATATATA